AAAAAAGAAGCCATTTTTTTGCTTCATTTTCCAATCACTGGGCTCTAATCACCTAACTTGATGCCACGTTAATTAATCCAAAAATGCTTGTACCAGTGGCTCAATTTTTTTATTTGTGGTCTTCTGAGGTCCTAACTACGAGAAAAACGTGCACAAAAACTGTATCCGACCAAAATAAAAAATCCAGGGCTGAAAGTGTTAAACTATCCAAAATATTATGGGGAAGTAATTTGGCGTTATTAGGAAAAATATCGTCCAATTGAATTTATATGACGGTAGACACTGCCCCACTAGCGGCGCTCAGAGATAGCTAAACTTGTTTTGACTTGATTTTAGCGACCAATGTCACTCCCCAGTCTTCGTCTACTCTCAACCACCGATGTCGCTGCCAGCTTCATTGCATCGACACGAAACAAGGCTGTGAAGCCGCCTTGTGCACCCAAATACGCATGTAGTTATGCAGGCAGAAGCTGCTAAGCCAGAATTTTTTGTACTTTTTGGGCGAGTTATACGCGAGAAAATCGGGCACGTGTTGGATTATTACATTAAGCCACGTTCCATGCTCGGTGAGGTCATAGTGTATTCATAGTTTTAACCTATGAATCACACATGGAGCAGCAGGAACAAACAAGTTAATTCACTGCACGCACATAGCTCTTTGGAGAGTACCAATGACATTTGCCTCTATGAACGATGTAGCCTGCTGCACCTAAAAGGGTCTTGAACCAGGAGCGTAGGCAGAAATTATTTGGGGGGGGGGGGGGGGGGGAGGGGGGGGCATTTTTTGAAATGGTCATTTTTTTGCTTTAGAATGACATGACTAAGAAAATTTCGGGGGGGGAAGGCAATCCCTGGCTATGCAACTGTCCTGAACCATGCTTCAAGGTTAGCAAAAAAACATCCTGTATACAGCAAGCAGCGTTTACGAGCAGAGTGCGTAGTTGCGGCTTTTCTTTTTATGGCAACATACACTTGCCCTTTCAGGGACACTAAAGAGCAAAAATGATTTTTTCCGTATTAGTGAAGTATAAATTTACAATCCCGAAAATACCGCTTTTACTGCAAGACAACGCTTGGTAAGTGAGAAAATGCAAAAGAAAATGCCGGTGGAGCCGCCACGTTGAAATTGCGGCACCAAACACCGTGACATCATAGATATTGAAAGTCTGCTGGGTCCTATGTAGCTTCTAGACGATAAAAATGAGGTACATTGTCATCTGTGGGTGCCATAGACCTTGCATTGAAAGTTTAAGAAAATTTTATCCAGTCAGTGTCCCATAATACCAAGAATGCATTTTGAAATCTTCGGACGTCGAGCGTAGAGATTACAGTGCGAAATCTTTACCATACATGAAACTTCAGCCTCGATTTTCTCTGCTAATAATAAACTTACGATGGTGAAACTTATGGCATTGGAGTTCTCAGGGCGCAGTTTATCAATCTAAACAGTCATTTAAGGCATAATATTTTGCGAGTATGTGTGTATTAAATTCAAGCCATCAGGGTGGCGTTGTGTATGAAGTGAAGCAGTGTATTGTGAAATCTATTGTCATGCATCCAGTGGTCATAAGCGGTCATGTTCGCTGCAGCAAAGGCCAGCTTACGAAAGGCGATAGGAGCGTTTCAACTGAAACCCTTAGCATGTCCACCGTGTTTGTCAGGACGAAAGAAAAAGCACTTAAAGTGTGAGAACAAATCCTTGCAACTCTAGGTTTATTTGACGGTTTGGAGAAATTTTTCAGGCGATCTGTTCATGCGGCAGTAAACTTCAGTACGGAGATCATCAGACGCTTACGTGAAATATGCTTGTAATATGCCGATGAACATGAAACTTGTGACACTTTTTCGCCAGTTTGGTGTTCATTTTGGAGTAGTCAACATTTAGAGATATTCGAATTCACATGTAGCCCCTACTAGGTCCAAAGACCGAATCAAACACGGTGCTATTCAGTTCTAGACCGGAAATTCACTTGTTCATACGCTCGTAGATTATCTCTCACCATCATGTGCGCTCTTGCTGCTAGCATAAGGAGTTGGTGGAAAAATAATGTCTCGGTTTAGATTTCTGCTATTGGAAGGCAAGTTAAAGGGACACAAAAGGCAAATAAAAGCTTATGTCGGAGTGAACGCTCATTGTATGACATCAAATGGCAATATTTTCAACAGCAGTGCCCTACTTACCCATAAACTAGGTTAAATGTATCGCACAACGTGCACACCAAGCAGGACATTTTGGAAATGATCTTGATGACATGATAGCGTCCAACTACAATTAGTCACTAGTAATCAAGCTAGCCGCAATTAAAAAAAACCTTTTGTGAATCAAAACTGTAATAAAAGGCTACTTGTCCATTTTTGTTTGACTTATATGTAGATAAAATAACCCCCTGGTGTTACCTTGGGGAACAGGACGTGTGGTTTAAATAAATGTTCCGCTTTTGCCTGGCCAGGCTGAATAGGTAGCGCCAGCTAGCGAGGCCTAGCTGAACTTAGCAAGCAGAAAATTGTTCAATGGTCATTGTTGCTGCTGTGGCTCCAGCTACTATCCCTCTGCTGCTACTAGTGTCAACGGCTGCACAGTAACGGTGGGCAACGCTGGGCACGGCCACAGAGACTGAAAAAGCCTTCTTTTCAGGTGGGTGATTTTAAGTGTGCTTGCGCGATGAGGGCCACTAAAACGTGGTTTTAATTGAAAATAAGCACTTCCTTGACACAAAAGTAGCACTACGAGGTTTCTGGACCGCTGTTTCAACAATTAACGTAGACCCAATATTTGCCTCTAGTGGATTGCTATTTCAACAATTATCGTAGACCCAATATTTGCCTCTAGTGTTCATTCAATAAGGTGGTGTGTGCTTTGCTTTACATTTCACACGTGACCCTTGTTGGTAATAGTCCGCATAGGTCAGTGAACTCACTCATGAGTACACTCACTCAAGACTCGCAACTCGATCCGAGTCTGAGTGAGTCCGAGTGAGGAATATTTTGGCAAGTTTGAGTCCGAGTGAGTCCAGCTGAAGAAAATATCTGCAAGTGTGAGTCCGGCTCGGGAAAACTTTGGTTAGTCTGAGGGAGCCCCAAGCGCAAAATATACTTCTTGAGCGAGTCTGACTAAGCTTTACGATTTTCGCCGACCTATGATAATCAGTACTACAAGTACGCACACGAGCGCTTTTTGCGAGTAAAAGGCTCAATGCACCAGGACCAAAGTTGGAGGCCGCCGCCACATTTGTTTGATTAGCTTCTCTTTCCTTCTCGCCATTCTTCAAGTGGGGCGTTCCACGTTCGGGCGTAGTGTGCATAGCGCACATGTGACTAGTTGCTCTTTTCAGGCTCCGCCTTACGTATCACGTGTTTCACCTCTGTTTTTTAAAAAGCTTTTGGACAACTGATAGCAAGAAAGTAGATGCATGACTGAACATGAGCGGGGCACGAGGCGAATCAGCACAAACAATTCTGTAAAGAAATGCACATCTCACTTTTATTGACGTCCATGAAATAAATTACACAGTATTTACAATGATTAACAAACACTACCATTGCACAGAGCTAATACCAACGCCATTTATCTGCTGATTAAGCTTGAAAAACCAAACGCTCACACTTCAGCGTTTGCCGCTGTACAAAGTTTTCTTAACACAGCGTTCGAATGAAGTACACTTTTGCCCGACACACATCGCGGAGTTCAAAAGGCCATCACAACATCTGACTAGATGCTTCGCCAACTACAGTGTAACTCGCGACACAAAAAGCTGGCCCTAAGGAAGTCTGCACGAGTAAGTAAGTGCGTGGCATTGGCTTGCTGGTGAAGAACGACAGGTTTTGTGCAGAACTAAACTCGAGAACGTACTCTAACAAGCGACAAGGCAGTGACACCTAACAAGGCAAAGTCTTGCATTCTCCATTTAGATGCGAAACAAAGCGCGATGCACAGTCCAAGATTGTGTCAGTGCGGCATGTCAAGATGTCAATAGTCATCAAAAGTTTCCTGTGTACCACATGTGAAAGAAAACTACTCTATTTCGAGAAAGAATGTACTCACTGTGACAGCTAAGAATGGCTCCACAAAAGCACATGATTCAAAAATTCAATTTGTCGGATGACATGACGATGCAACCCTCTTACAGAAACCGCAAACGTTGGGATATGAAACTCGATTCCACATGTTATAGCACCGGTAAAAAGTTATGGATATAATCTCTTCAAGTATGGTGTGTTTCAGTGCGAACTCGCATCTTTTTTTGTTAATATTTTAGCTCTAGCAAATGAGAACAACACGTCTACACATTTCGCATACCCATCACCGAAGGACAGCCAGGGCCAGCCATGGCGGAACTTGTCAGTTTCTTTTACCAAAGACAATGCGCAAACGTCCATGCATCTATGGTCTTCTCCATGTGCAGATGGCGTTAGAATACTGCAACATCACTTTCACGGTACAATACCACCGGAAAACACGACTGCAGGCACGAACAAGGCCGAAGAAAGGCGCGCAGGCGTTATCTCTTTTTTTTTGGAACGTGCCCGTCATAAAAAACTGTGCACATGCAAACTAAACATTTTGCTGAAAGTCAGTGCTGCATTTGTCTGCTGTGCACCCTTCTTTGTCATCGTCTGTATCTGTGCCATTTCCTTCAGGATGTTGTACAAACAAGCCCAAATGAAAACTGCTCAATTGTGAGCAACGTGGGGAAGCTAGCTTTCTCCTGTAGCCACAGTCTTTTTCTTTCTTACAATTTCCAAGTAAAGTATTAGTTTAAATGCCTTTCTTGCATTCATATAACATGCCAATTCTGTAGAAAACTGTAAAAAGGTAGAAAATTTGGGGAAATTTGGCTTCTGCCTAAATGACCTGGAAGGCAAAGGGCGAACAAAGTGGAGGGCTTTGAACACACATCACGACACGAAGGGATAGGCCACAGCACTTGGTGACAGTTAACAAATGTATGCAGGTCCACTGCAGTTAGGGAAAACTTTCAACTACGCAACTATCGCTCGAGCAAGCGCTAATAAAAGTGGCGTCACAAGTTGCGACTCGCTGCAACGTTGAACTGGGATGCTTGCTAAGTGTGAAGTGGGTCACCGATACGGGCTCTCTGCAGGAAAGGCAGAATCCCTTGTCCTCCACGGTGGAATGCATAGACACGCTGAGGGTGCCTCGATCAGCGTTAGTAGGGTGTTCTCTGGGTTATGTTCACCAGGTCATGTGTGCTGCGAAGTGAAAAACAATGCAGCACGAGGTTACTTCACACGTGGGTTAATTTGTCGGAACTGGCTCAACTCCAAGCACTCGCGGAGAACCAATGCAGCTGTCCGTTCCTTCTAGACGATGCTGTAGAACTTTCTACGAAAGTTTCAATACTAATACCACGTTCACCAATTCTAATCTGCCACTCACACTACCGATGACTGTAGCTCTTATGTCGCTTTCTTCAATAAACACAATAAAAAATCATTTAAAAGAGTAGCAAGCCAAAGCTCAGTTTTTTTTTTTTACAAGGCACCATCACCCTAGTGACAGATTTATGTAAATATGAAAATTTAAGCTTCTTTTCTATCAAGCCAAGAATGTGCAACAAAGAGAAAGTGCAATTTAACCCTTTCAGATGTCACTTACGAAGAACTGTTTGAAAATGTGTCAAACCGATATAACACTAATTTAAGGCGATCGATACTTTATTGCAAGAAAAATACTCATAGTACATTAATTTATTTGTTCAACAGTAATTGATCCCAATTGAATTATAACTAGGTATAGATTTATACTGAAGTCATTCATGATCCACTTTTACATAATAGAATAAAGTCTCAGGTTAGAAACAGAGGGTATTTATTTTCAGTTATGCTTATTTCAAGCCAAAAAAGAAGTTAGTGTGCATTTGACGTGGCTTGCTCAGAGTACTACGTCGAATAACTCCTCCAACACGGTAGTCTCGCCAGCAAAGTGATCGTATGCAACAGTGGGTTGCAAAACAACAGTATGTCGCAAAATAGGTTAAATGAAGAAGTATTCATTATGCAGAATATTTAATTGATCTAACAAGGCTCACTGTACCTTTCTCTTTCTTAGCCCCTAGTCAATATACATAGCGAAAATAAGTAGTGCACACAAATTTGTATAGAGTGCCTCAAAGGGTTACATAAATTAAGCCTGGTGCCAAAATCTCAAGCAAACCTATAGGGGTAGTACCGATCCCGAATGAACTGGTAAGCCTGGTCTGCAGCTGCATTTCAAAGCATGTAATTGAGAGATGCTCTGCTGGTTATGCAAGTTTTAAGTAGCACACATGCATGCATATACAGCTCACATAAAATAACAGCGTAGAAGCAAGTCAACAGAAAACATGAAAGACAAGCTGACGAGTCTCTTCGAAAAAGAGGTATAGTACATCGGCAAGCAGTGAGTGGAATGACAAGTTCAAAAAGCACCGTGAGGTGCCCAACATGCTTCTGGTGTCAGACAAATGCAGCAAGCATACCTACACTGCTCTTTGCAATGTTAACTTGAGGGCATACAATTAGACATTGATAATTTCACGTAGTTTAAATAAAGATGAACAACAGGGCCTTTCAGGCCTGGAAACAAAATTTTAAAGACTTGTAGCTCATTGACCAAACTCTGATACTGGTTCAAACCAGCAAATAAGGTGCTCAATGATGAAATAACTGAGAAATGAGCGGCAACTTCTAACCCTGCAATGCACTCTAATCGTAAAGCAAATGTTGCTTTATGTTGAGATCTCGCTGAGCTTACATGACAGATATTCTGGTGAGAGCTTTGCATCTCTTGGCTCGGCAAGACGTATATGGACTTAATGAATCCGAACAATGTCAAGAGAGTTTGTCAAACCCACTCCACTACACACTGTGTACAAAAAGCACTGCGGGCAAATGAAATGTGAACTGAAAATTTGGGCGCTAGACACCTGTTACCGTTAATAACTGAATGAAAAATAACTGATTTGCTTTTCTGATTGTCTTAGTGCACAAATAATTTAGTAAAGATGAGGCAGGGTTAAAAGTAACCATAATATAACGGCAAATTTAACGGCAAAAAATTGAGGCTAAGTAGAATGCACATTCCTTCATTTCTGGTGTCTACAGCTAATGTTGGATTGGTGTTATTTTGGCTCAAACACTTACATCAGTGCCGAGGTTAATGTGACTAAAGCATGCATATCTAATACTTTTTCCAGCTTATTGCACAAAAAACTCGAAACACAACGAGAACAATGACAGCAGGACCGGAGGTAAAGCCTGATTTGTTTCCGATGGGAAAATGAAAGCACTGTGGTTGGCCGATGCGGACTTTGCTTTGACATCAACAGGGCTGGGAAAAGCACCACTGAAGTGTAAGTCAAGTTTCTGCATTGCTTTCAATAAACTCTGCTTTAAAATTCAGAATCTGTAGGTGTGTTACAGTTGCAGCGCTTCGGTCTTGCTGGAACATCATGCTGCTTCAAGTGACATAGCATAAGATGGCTGAACCAACAGACACGCTGGTGTGGATTCCACACAGTGAAGTACAGAAAGTACAGGGCCGCATGAAGGAACATTGATGTTCACAATGAGGTATACTGTATTTACATGGTAGTAGGTCGACGCATCTTAGCTAATTCGAAATTTGAAGTTAGGGGGTCGACTTACAGTCAAACTGACTCTAGAGATTATTTTTTTTTTTTTTTGAGCCATTTCAGGGGGTTTACCTACATTCGAGTGGACTTAGTTCGTCTAAACATTGTAATTTCAATAATATGGTACTTTGTTGGTAATGACAGGATAGTAAGGATGTCTATCGTGAGCGCGATGCAGTTTTGAAGGATTGCGGCAAGGAATGCACTAGAATTTGACGTCAAGTGTCTTTCCCATGAAACAGTACAGTAGGGTGAAGCTCAAACAGAACACATTGAATGAAATGTGACATTAAAACTATCTTGACATTCATGTGTGATGTGGTTATCTTCAGCAATAGTTAAAGATAACTACATTGTGTACCAGTCTAGCCACTCAAGATGATGTTAGACCTGGTGTAGCTATGTTGTTGGACCTGGTGTAATATGGTGGAAACAAGGATGTTTCCATTGCTTAGTTCTAAAGTGATGCGTTGCGCTCTGTGAGTGACAATACTAACTTGGGTTTTAGGGGTCATTACCACAATATGATTATGAGGCATGCCGTACTAGAGGACTCTGGAAATACCACATTTACTTGCGTAATCCTCGCACTCGCATAATTCTCGCATACCCCACATCGCCCAACAAAAATACGATTTTTTTTCCCCTCGAGTAATTATCGCACCCTCGAAAATTGCCGCAACAATGATGTCTGCTCGTTCCAGCCATTTATGATGATAGCACGCGCCATCTCTTAAGCATAAAGCGTACTATTATTGCACAGAAATTCCATCTAATCCAAGCCAAGGCAACAAGTACGCGTTATGGCGTGTTTTGTTTGTTGTGTCGGTAATCTTGTCACGTTATGGGGCGATACTGAAGCTACACGACTGCTTTCAAGTTGAAAGTGATTGATCATATACTAAACAGCGGCAACAGGGTCACCAGTAGGCCCTTCGGAGTCGACGAGTTTTGTGTTCGCTACTGGTGACGGCAGATGAAAGCCACCAAGGCACGTTGGGCCTGCCGTGGCAATAAGACTGGGATTGATGGTAAACTTTATATCTTCAGTACGAAACTGCGGACGATTCTGTTAAATAGCCATCATCCCAATACTGACATCCTACGCTTACCTTTTGAGGGCTCCTGTTGAGTGACAAACTCTACCGCTATGCTCGCAATGGCCACAAACTTTGCGTATGGCATTCTAATTCCTGACTACTTGCTTGCACTTTTTGTGTCTCAAATAAATCTTGCCTTGTATTGAAGCTGTGCTTTTATTGTTGAAGTAAGTTTTGATTAGTACTTCTCAAAGCTTCGCGTTTGGTGTTGGTGTGAGAATCCCGATTCGCGGCCACTTTGTTTTCTTTTTCGCTCTGTAAGTTTTCGTGGAAAGTTTTGCCCACGTAATTCTCGCACCCCCCAACTTCGCATGGGTTTTCCCCCAAAAAAAGTGCGAGGATTATATGAGTAAATACGGTATTGACCGGCTGGTGTCCTTTTAATGTGCACTGCTACATAGCACAGTGAATGAGCCTGTAGCATTCTGGCTGCACTAAAATTCGACAGCTGCGGCCAGGATTGATTCCGAGACCAGCTGAACACCACAACCGTTGTACCACCGTGGTTAACGCGCTGTGGGCACTGTAAATACGTCATCCTTATCGTGTTCATCTGAAAAGCTATACCTGATCTGACTGAACAAGCATGCCATATCCACTAACAAAGGATGAAGAAGTGGTGGTTGATTGACAGGCTGAATACACTCAAACCTTGATACAATGAACACAAATAAAACAAATTATTGGTTATAACGAAGTAAAAGAAAAACTGTCATAAATAAAGCATTAATAATAAGATTATAACACATTTTTGGATATAATGAAGTTATTTCTGTGGCAAATGTGACCGTTATAATGAACTTTGAGTGTTCACTCGACCCTCGATATAACGATGTATCACTTATAACGAAGTAAATGAAAAATAGTCTTGCAATAGATATAGTGTTAGGAATTAACTTCTATCAAAAAAAAAATTTGGATAAAGCGAACTTATTTTCATGTGAAATGCAACTTTGTTATAATGAGGTTTGGGTGTATGTCATAGGGCTAGCAGGTGAACAGGGTACAACACCGCTTACCAGGAGATGGGGTGCAGACAGGCTGTGGTCATGCAGGCGGCTCAGAAAGAAGCAAGACGCGGGAAGAGGGTTGCGGCAAGCTCGCTTCGGGAATGCCAGCATGCAAAAGGTAGCGTGGCTGAGAGGAGGCAGTATTGACCGAACAGTCACAGTGCAAAGGGAGAGCGGTGGCAAGGTGTGCGTGGCGAGACAGCAGAGAGGGCCGGCAAGCCGCACGAACGCACTTCTTGCCGAACTTGTTGTGTATGACGAGGAAGACGAAGGCCAGCGCGAGGCAGAGGCTGCCCACGGCGATGTAGGCGATGCCGAGGAACGGGTTGCGGCCGCCCAGCCACGAGGTGTTGGACAGGATGATGCGCTTGCTGCCCTTGAATGGCAACACCGGGTAGCCTGGTTGTTGGGAACGTGGCTCAGGAAGGAAACGCGGCGTGAAAGTTCACTTTGGTGAAATGGGTTCTTTGATTTAGTACAGTAATACCTTGTCAACACGTTCCTGCTTGTAACACTGTCCCACCAGTTACACCTTTGAACGTCATTGAAGTTCGATTCCCATAAAACCACCTCAATTAGTTTCCTGCTCACTTACATTCGAAAGCTGTCATTTAGTGCCATGTTTTGCTGCTGCATATGGTCACAGCCCCTGACAGATGGCACCATTTTTACAAGGAGCAGCAAAATTACCCGTCGTGTGTTACCAGCAATTGGGTGGCTAGCAGTTGGTCATGAACTTGAATGCACATGCGTAAAGGCTTCCAAGTGGAAGACAGATCCTCTAGAAAGCCTATATCTGTTACAAGGTGGGCTGGGAGCAATTCACCCCTGCCAACCCTATAAGTGATGTACCTGTGCACATTTCCCACCAGTTGCTTCTTGTTGTTACAAAAACCTTGAACATACTGTAAATAAACACTATTTCCATAAAACTATCTACAAAATGGCTCCGTTTTAAGCCCTTCTGGGTAAAGAAGGATACGGTAGACAATTTCCAGGTCATAGTCCCCTTTGGGCAGTGAGCTGACGAAGAACTCTTGTGAGTGGTCTACTCGGCCGTAGAGCTTGCGGAAAGTGGGCAGAGCAGCGGTGCGCATCCAGACGATCAGAGACTCGTTCTCGAAACCCCCGACTTCCTCCTACGGGAAGCGGCCAGTTTGGTGGCTTGGCAGTGCCGTTGAAGTTCATGCCTGCAGGAGACGGAGGTGTACGGTGATAGTTGAGTTTGGGCTTATAATAATGTAGGCTATTGGGACATTGCATCTCAACAACACAATATAGTTATAAAAGATGCCATAGTGGAGGGCTTTGAACCTTTAACCTCCTGGTGTTCTTTAACAAGCGCCTAAATCTTAAGCACATGAGCCTGCAGAGTTCGCTTCCATTGGAATGCTGGCTGTTTTGGCTGGGATTCGATCCACCGACCTTTGGGCCAATATCACTAGATCATCACGGCTGTTTTTTAGTTGGACCTCAGTTAGTCTTGAAGAGTGGATGTGCACAGACTACCAATGCCCTGGCACCACTCCAACGGTCCACTGCTGACACATGTTGCTTATACGGATAAGTGACCACAGCGAATTATTGCCTCGACAGAGCGTCTTGTATTTGCTGGTGTTTACCACACCTGCGCTTGCCGTGGAAAAATTATCGCGAAAGTAGCATTGCACCGCACAAGCAACAGTGGCTACAGAAGGTTCAGTAAAAACTGTAACTGGCACGGTGCATTGCAATGCCTAATCTGACCGATGCTGCACTTATGTTATGACAGAGCATAACGAACACTCAGTGTGTACTTGGTTACAATCCAAGAATAAAGAAACATAACCTTCACGCACAAAACTGTGGGGAGCCTGCCCTTCATCCGCGGAACACAGTCGTGCTAGCTGCTTTTAGTTCAAATCGTAACTACTTTTTCTTGGCTAATGTGAACACTAGGCAAGCTAAGACTTGAAGGGGCCCCGAAACACTTTTTGACCATGCTGAGAACACGTGTGTCAAATGTTGCGGCGCAACACACTGCCTGGAATTTACAACAAATTCTCGAAGTCAGCTAAAAAATCGTTTTTTCTTCTCTCAACAAATGACGCAACAGGCTTAAAAATCGCTGCGTCACATGCCAAGTATCAGCCATTGACTGACTTGAGCCTGTGTTCGGTTGTTACTGGGGCTGCCAGTTTTCCACATAAGCCATGCATTCAAACAAAAAAAGACAGAGACAGAGAGAGAGAAAAAGTGCCCAAGGTCGCAAGGCGCACGCTTATTATTATTTTTTTCCCCTGCTTAGCTTCCAGCGCTTTTGTAGGGACGAGAGAAGAGAGAATGCAATTCAAGCATGCGACAAATCTTAGTAACTCCACTCCACTCCACTCGTACTGGATGGATTCTGAAAATTTTTGCGGCGATGAATTCGAGAGGCACTAAGCTCTTGAAGGGTATCTATTTCATAGCTACATGAAAAAGTGTTGTAGGAATTCTTTAAAATAATTGTTACGTCTCTCGTTGTCTTATCTGCCAAAAAATTGTCGAAGGCGTTACTGCTTCTCCTGGAACTGAAAATTGCGGGCATGCTTTTTTGACGACACGTGCATAGCCAAGTCAGTTCCACCGCCGTGCAAGATAGTGATGTCTAAATTACAAAGAACGCACAATGCATGACGTTCACCTTTCTGCAATGCCACAATGCAGTATATTTGCCATATACTGCGTTAGAAGGCTCGAAGATATTGCTTGTCTTCCTCATTTGCTAAGCGCCATGGGCAACAACTACGTGAAGGACGCGCAACACCAAGCACGGCACTAAAGCTAACAAAGAACATAAAATTCCTGGTAAGCGCATGGAAACTGCAGGGAGAATCAGACCTTAGAGCCATGCTAATGCTGCCCCAGGCAATCTCTTTGTGCATAGATGAAAGCGACAGCGACACTACATTCGCGTAAGTTGTAATAACTTTACTAGAAGCTTCAATTTCACTTTTGTGCTTCACTGGCTCTGCTTTTTAGACTCTTCACTGATAATGTTAATCGACATCACGTACTAACATTAGATTGAATTTTGATTATTTTCACGCACCTCCGGCACTATGAAGCCAGTCTAGGAAAAAGATTTCACCAAACACAGGCGGGTATTGCGGATATTTTTGTTCGGCGATACAATGACACAAGATCATTGAAATTCAGGAGTCTCCCAGATGAGGAGACCTGGCAGGTACGTTTTATGTGAGGTTGCTGCTGCATTGAATGACCTTGAACACCTACCTGGTGGATTCCTGAACTTGACCCTTCGGTCAGTCGGCCAGGCGATCTTGTCGAACAGCATTTTCACTACGGTGGGATCTTCGATGCCATTTTGTTCTTGCTTGTGACGGTACTTGAGAGTGAGTGTGTCTAAAACAGTGCAAAAAAAAAAATGCCGCTATACGTCACGCACAATCAGTAGGTTACTAAAAGAAACAAACTAAATTGCTTAAAATTCACTGTCCAAGCACTCCATACACAGCCTGTTTATCATCAGGTATGATCTACCTCGCTTTCTTCTGTGGTAAATTTTGATTTCTTTATCGCTACATTCGAGAGATGCATGCTCAAAACCTGGTATTTGGTGATGCTAGCTTAACAGATATTAAGAACACCTAAAGAATTTTATGGGTAACGATTCATGCCGGAGCAGATACCATTCCTAACTTTTACATGCTGACAAAACTTGAAACCGCTGCATGCACAGAGACTCTTTGAAGTAGCGCATGCTGGCACTGATTCTGCATTACAATGCGCACTCACAGGTTGCCACATTTTTACACCAGCTAGCTGTCCAGAACCTTGCTGTATAAATGCCAACGTCTAATCCCTATATTCAGAAATTCGCCACAGCACGAGGTCACATCTTGACTCAATTAAACTCCAATAATAGAATGCCCAACACAATCATGCTGAAGATGCTCACAGCATTACATTAGTCATGCTCACGTTCACAAGATGCACTACAACAATGTTGGATGCTTGGAAGTTGAGTGTATGGCTTGAAGTTGTGTAGCTTTTCTGAATACAGTGATAAGGAGCTTTTTTTCACACTTTACATTGGTAAGCTGCTTTTGGTAAGCTGCATTGGTAAGACAACTGCTGACTGCTGCAAGTGTTTCTACAGTCAAGAACCAATTACATGCAGTTTAGGCAAAGAAAGTGACTGTGACAACCTTGCATAAATGCAGACGACCATGCAAATGAGAGGTCCGGATTAGAGCAATTTTACTTTAGTACCCCTTCCAATACATTGTTAGCACCCTTCCAATACATTGTTTATGACGCTCAGTCAGCCTACTTCAATGTTTATTGAATATTATAGTGAAATGTCCACCGAATTCATTTTACGCCTCACTGCTAAAATGCAACCAATTTTCATGGGAGTTAACGCTATGAGGGACAGCCACAGGGGAACGAATGCAATGGGCACAGATGCAGAAGAGGACAGGCTGGCATGTTGTTTCACGTTTGAGCCGTAAACCAGAAGCCTGAAAGCACGAGACAGAAGAATTTGCTGATACACATCTTGCATATTTAATTTAATGTCTAGGCTTTTACGTCCCGAAAAAAAAAAAAAAAAACAGTATGATTATGAGAGACGTCGTAGTGGAGCGCTCTGGAAATTTTGAGCACATGGAGTTCTTTCGCAAGCACTGGCATCACACAGCACACGGGCCTTTCACCTCCATTAAAATGTGACCGCTGCGGCCAAGATTGGAGCCGCGACCCTCAGGTGAGTAGCTGAAGCGTTCTAGCCGCTGATAAAACAAAGCGAACCACACATCATACATGTTGCGAGCTTGGTTGATCCGCTACATTTTCGCGAATAAGCAGGGAACTGTGAGAGCGGTCCGAATGCTTACGGTGTGGCCGTCAACTTCTTCGGAGTGCCGCTGCTAAGAAAATTAGGCAAAAAAACACGTTTCAGATCACACTTTCTGTGCATTCACAGTGCTACTGCAAGCACGGTTATGAAAGAAGTAAGCTAACCATTGAAGATGCTGTTTGCGATGGCACCGCAGGGTGCAATGGGCTTTCCCGTCTTGGGGTCCTGCGCAAAGGGTTCACAGTCGAGGTTTGTCTGAAGTGGCTTGCCCAGGAGCTGCGTGTCATCCCGGGACTTGACGTATCGTCGATGGTTCTGGTAGAAGTTGGTCAGGCCGTAGTACACGTACACTTCCGACTGCAATGCAGAAGCACATTTATGAGACCATTTTAAACCTTTGAGACAATTTGTACATCATTGTGTAGACCACTGGTTTCTGCTAGCTATGTAGATTGGTGGATCGAAATCCGGACAAACCGAACCTCCTGTATAATAAATGAGTCTTCAGTTATCTTTCTTTTTGCAGTGTGCTTTTGCATATGGTCACTACGCTAAAGGCAATGCAATGTTCGACGAGTCAGTAAGCCACTTTCCACGAGCCACAACAAATGTACAATTCTTTGTGCAAAATGAATCTAACTGAAAACAAGTTCACACTATATTTCATGCCTTAAATTTTGTTTGATTTACGTATGCAGAAATGGAGCATTAATGACTTCAGAATAAATTTAACCAGAATAAAATGCACGATGCGATTACCTTTGTGCAAGATAATACCGAGTGCTTTGAAATAATGCGAGAATTCGATACACATTGTGGTGTACACGTATCCCGAAGGAGTACGGCCACCAGCGTGGGTCCGGTCTTAGCGAGCCGCAGGGCACGCGTTAACCGTCGCCGTGGCGGGAAACACGATACTGCTCAAGTCGCAACACTTTATTGTGGCAACACCAAACGCAGTACAGCCCGTTGCAAATAGGCGCGGCGGGAAAGCAAGTAGGCTTATCCACGCCACGGGCACAAAGTACTACACAGGGGTGCCACGAGCACGTCTCCGCGGTAAAGCCGATCCACGGAGACACCGGAGCAAAGGCCCGGTTGCTCGAGCGAGGGCAAAGGCGCTCGCGTTGGCTTCGAAGGGAGACGGGTCGGCGTAGCGAGGCCACGCACTAGGACACCGTACCGCCCTTCGGCCGTGCGTACGCAGCGGGGCAAACAGCGGGTGAGCGTTCGCCTTGGGCGCGAGGCGCCGTCAGCGAAGTCCGACGAGCCCCCGACTGACGGGAGTCGACGGACGAAAAGATAGCGTGGCTCACCGTTTGCTGTCCCGGAGAGTATCTGCCCGCTCCCGACGCAGCGCGCGAAAACCTCTCTTGGGAGTCCCCGCGCGCGGCGCCACCGTCAGCATCCGCTACCGGGTGAGGGAGTTAAACGTCACTCCGCTCTCTCAGCGCGGCAGACAGCAACGGAGGGCAGACATGTCGGGACATGAGAACGGCAGAAAAGGCGGGAAAGCCCGCTTAAAGGCAGCGGGCCAGCCTCAATTCCCACATCCCCCTCTCCTAAATTTGCCCTTTACCGGTCCGCAAAAGGCAGCCGGACGTCACCCATGCAGTTAAAATGACACTGCTATGAGCGACAGCTAACCTCAGTCCAGCCCTGCTACTGCTGCTAAAAAAATGATTGCAAAGGAGAAACAAAACATAAATAACAAAATAAACACACGACACTATACAAATAACTGCGGAAGGGAGCACAGCAACGTGGCACTAGTGTTCGTGGTGCTGAAGGGGGATAGCGTCCAGTGCACGGAGGGGCGGTAAAGGCGTGACATTGTCCGCTGGGTGCGATGCCCGAGAGCGAGGTCAGAGGTACGGGAGGGGGGGGCTCACTGATGGCTCGTTGCTGGTCTTGATAAGCAGCGAGTCCGACGAACGCTGCCTCGGCTGTGCTTCGGAGGCCCCCGCATTGCTGGCTCGATGATGAAGCTGGAACGTTGCGCGAAGCCGGGCCTCTCCAGTGCTCAGGGAGGCCGACCCAAATTGGCTGCGAATGGCGTTGGCCGGCAGCATATAGCTGCTTTCAGCTGGCCTCGCGCAGGAGCCATGGTGGTAAAGGCAGCGGGGCTTCTTCGACGACGGCCGAGAGCAGAGCACAGCCAGACAGTCTGACGTCAGTGGGTCAATGACCCCCCAGCACCTCCAGTGTCCGCGTCGATGGAGGGCAGTCATGACGCACTCTTCGCGGGCTCGCACTGAAGCGTCACGCACTTACACACGCACGCACACACACCACCGACGGCTGCGCGAGCGTAGGCGCAAAGCGTCCTTCGTCTCTCTCTCTCCCGGCAAGCACCGACACACAAGGTCACACACAGCTCCCTTCGCGGTAGACTAAACGAACACGGAAAAAAAAAGTGAAAACAGAGCAAAACGACACTCAACATCTGGCGAAAAACATAAAACACAAATAACACTTAATATTAGACAAAAATAAACATAAAATACACATGAACACTTCAAAAAAAAAAGAAACACTGGCAGCAGACAGGGCCGGGTCAACTCCTTTACGAGAAAAGGCCGTAAAGAAGCTAACCTATACTGAGGCTAGACAGTAAACTGAGGGCCTTCGGTTGCGGAGAAGTCCGCCGTCCGGCGCGAAATCACAAAGGTGACCGCTTCCTCAGATTATACCGGCGCGGGGTCCGAATGCGGTCCGTCGCTCCGGGTGTGCCCGTTGCTTGCGCGAAGTGCCGCAGGGCACTGGCGCGAGCTCGTCAGACCGTGACAAAGGGCTTCAGGTCTGCGATGTGGGCACGGCTGAGTTTTCCCAAAGGGGATCTTTCAGCTAGTACGCGCCACGGACGCTCACTGACAATCGGTTCATAAGATCGGGCGGCTTTCCAACCCTTGGCTCAACCGTTAGTCAGACGTGGCAGGCACGGAATAGCAATAAAAGCCACGCTTCGTGCCGGGCCAGGTCACAACATTGCTCAGTTTGCAAAAACTTTCGAGCCACTCAGGTGACCGGCCATGGGTTCGTCGTGAGAGGATCGCAACAGTGCGGCTCTCAGACTTTTGGGCATAACCACCTTAAACGGGTCTATGGACTCGTCGTCAGTGGCTATATATTTCAGCAGGAGCCCGTCATGGTCCAGCAAAATGAATCCGCCGGGGACTCAGCGACACACGCTCTTTCAGCCCCCTAATCGCGCCCGCCGCAGAACAAGCAGCGTAACGGCGCTCCGCGCCTCGTCAAGACGGTTTAACGGCGCCCGCCGCAAAGCAAGCAGCGTATACGGCGCTCCGTCCCTCCGAGACTCGAAACGGATCACTCTGCTGAGCCTTCAGTAGCTCTTCGCTGCCGAAAGCAATTTTCATTCTCCCAAATGGAGGAGTCTGGTATCGCGCCCACTCAGGACCGCAGCAACCGCCGCGTGAGTCGGCGTTACGGGTTCGCTCTCGGCCTCGTGGCCTTCGGAAAGCTCCCCCGCTCGGCCGCTTCGCGGTGCGCCGCTTACCTGGTTAGCAGCCAAGGTTTGTCCGCATGGGGACTCACCCTTCTCGCCGAATGGCGGCGAAGCTGCTGTTTCGCCACCGACGCATGCATGTGCTAAGGCACCGCGAGCGGCTGTCGCACCGAAATCCAGGTTCTCGGCAGACAACAAGGGGCACGAGATAGCGCGTCAGCTACCACGTAGAAGTGTATTCACCACAAAAAGGGGTGACGACACAGGCGAGCGCCGAAGGGCGCCCGTCGATAGAGGCGGTGGCCTCTTGGTGCAACGCGGAATGCCACGAAGCAGACATAACGTTCGGGTAGGGCAAGAGGCCCATTCCGAAGCGACGCGCCATCTCCAAAGGGAGCGGCTAGGCGCCTCGTGTCGTCACCGCAATAGGGGGTGCCGACACGGACGGGCGTCGGAGGCGCTTGTGCGTAACGTTCGGGTAGGGCAAGAGGCCCATTCCGAAGCGACGCGCCATCTCCAAAGGGAGCGGCTAGGCGCCTCGTGTCGTCACCGCAATAGGGGGTGCCGACACAGACGGGTGCAGAAGGGTTCCCGTCAATAGAGGCAATGGCCTCCGTGTGCAACGCGGCATCCGCTAAAAGGGACAGCGGACAAAAGTCCCGCGAGGCAGCCATGTTGCGACGAGCCCGAATCGCGCAGGCGAACTGACTCGCTAAGAGCAGTCAAAAGCTAGAGCTTTTGATACCGCGTTGGGCGCCAGTGTGGTGTACACGTATCCCGAAGGAGTACGGCCACCAGCGTGGGTCCGGTCTTAGCGAGCCGCAGGGCACGCGTTAACCGTCGCCGTGGCGGGAAACACGATACTGCTCAAGTCGCAACACTTTATTGTGGCAACACCAAACGCAGTACAGCCCGTTGCAAATAGGCGCGGCGGGAAAGCAAGTAGGCTTATCCACGCCACGGGCACAAAGTACTACACAGGGGTGCCACGAGCACGTCTCCGCGGTAAAGCCGATCCACGGAGACACCGGAGCAAAGGCCCGGTTGCTCGAGCGAGGGCAAAGGCGCTCGCGTTGGCTTCGAAGGGAGACGGGTCGGCGTAGCGAGGCCACGCACTAGGACACCGTACCGCCCTTCGGCCGTGCGTACGCAGCGGGGCAAACAGCGGGTGAGCGTTCGCCTTGGGCGCGAGGCGCCGTCAGCGAAGTCCGACGAGCCCCCGACTGACGGGAGTCGACGGACGAAAAGATAGCGTGGCTCACCGTTTGCTGTCCCGGAGAGTATCTGCCCGCTCCCGACGCAGCGCGCGAAAACCTCTCTTGGGAGTCCCCGCGCGCGGCGCCACCGTCAGCATCCGCTACCGGGTGAGGGAGTTAAACGTCACTCCGCTCTCTCAGCGCGGCAGACAGCAACGGAGGGCAGACATGTCGGGACATGAGAACGGCAGAAAAGGCGGGAAAGCCCGCTTAAAGGCAGCGGGCCAGCCTCAATTCCCACAACATACAACCAGTTCTTCACAAGTGGCGTCTGAAAGGGTAAACTCCATTCTAGTTGTTGTCTTCAACCTCCAAAACTACCTTTCAGAAAAATTCACACAAGACCTCCAATGTTAACTTTACGTCCCAATGACCCTAGCCCAAGGTTGGTGTGCATTGCACTTCACTCTGCTCTGAGCACGGTACAGCACTACAACTGATCACAGAGTTATGCTTATAGAAAATTACCACGGAATGTCAATGAAGAATAGTGGCCGCTTCTTACGAGGCTCAGCACTGCGTTGGTGATTGGGGGAGTTGGTAAGGGCTCATGATAAGCAACGAACACAGCGATGAATGCACGAAGACAAGGTGGCGGTCTTCATTGTTTGTGTTTATTGTGCCTTCGTCGCACCGTTTGTTAAACATCAGCACTGCGTGTTGAAGTATTGAATGGAGCAACGTTCAGGAACAGTGGGGCTGCCCTGTTACATTCGATGTCTCTTCTTTGAGCAACAGTTTTGCACAAACAGGTGATGTGTACGGCTTGTGTACAAGTTGAGCTGTTTTCAAACACGCCAAAAGTATCAGAAAGTAGAGAAAACGAAACAGAATGTTCCAGTGTTTTTGGTCCTTCACAGCAGTGCACTAAAAGCTGTCTGAGCGACGGCTCGCGACACTTCCTGAAGAGCCAACAGCACGGAAAACTGTAATGCAGGTTTGAATGACCGGTCATTGCTTAGTAACAAAGTGCAGAAGAATAAGCACATGCTCACCTTGAAATCTTCGGGCAGTGTGATGCGTTCAAGGCACACGCATGTCTTCTTGATGTCGTTCTCTATGACGGAGGCACACGTCACGTTTTTACCCTTCTCTTTGCAGTCCGTGTAGTCAAACTGGAACTCTTGAACCTGCGTGAAACGGCTCACTTTTTCTGAACAGCACAAACTGATCGAGAGGGAAAATATAGTCGGGCGAAATGAACGCAGGCTCTTTTTGCGTATGCAGCCCCCTTCTTAACCTGTAGTTAGGCGTGGAGATTGAGTGACGACAATGTTAGTGTTTATAACAGCTGATCGATATCCTACATTGGATGTATCAACAACTGGTCAATATTATCCATCTTTCAGCCAACGTTAGCCGGTGCTGAACTGCTGATCAGAAACCACAGCATGCGAGTAGATACGGTGTTCCAAGGCACCTCTTCATAAACGCTACGATACGGGCTCTCACTCATAAAAATGCAGGCTGTAGCGTTGACATCTCACAACGTGTGTTACCTCATTGGACGAAACTAGGAGGCCGATGCCTATGGGGACGAATGCGAGGCCTATGACGAAGAAGGTTGGCAGCACCGTCCCAGCTGTTAGAATGGGCTGCCATGCCGACAGCCGCTGCTGCTTGAAAGCGCTGCCTGCGCGAGAAACGTAAACAAACTTTGTTTTTACGCAAGAAGCGTTCGTCGGGTCATTTCAGACACGCCAATCTGACAAGCCTTCGCGTCGGTGCGCCGTGCGATCGCCGTTCGCAGCCGTACTCGGACAGTTGAAACTCCAGTTTACGACGATAGTTATAGCGCGAGAACAAAACGACGACACACAGACAAGAAAGACACGAAAGACACATGCATGTCCTTCTTGTCTCTGTGTCGTCGTTTTGTTCTCGCGCTATAACTATCGTCATGCCATACCAGCTAGCCCAAGCTGCCACACTTCCAGTTTGCGACTTCGGCAAACAGAACAACGGTCACTGTAACAATCGAAACGTACGCTGTGGTCTTGGCGTGCACTTAACGACCTTAAAAACGACCGCGAACATCAGTTCCGTATTGCAAATCGAAAATGATAGATACGCCCTACTTCACAACTTCCCCAGGTCCCATTCGCCTCTGCTTTCCGAATCACTCCCTCACACGATCACTTAACAACTATATCAGTAGCCTTAAACTCGGTAATCGCACACAACGTGCAGTTCCCCGCTTCAGAAATACGTCGCAAAAGCTTACTCGATGGTTTCTTGCTCTTGCGCTCGGGGTTGGACATTTTTTCAACCGCACGACCGCACCGCCGGATGTTGACCGTGACGTCGTGCAAGCCACGTGACAGAAACGGGTCGTGACAACTTCCGGCGGGCGTCCCTTCGCCGGAGGAGAGCTGCTCGTCTCCCGTGGTCGTCGTGGTCCTGTGCGGCGGCTTCTTCGGAGAGGCGGCTGACGTCTCCTTGAACGTCGTTGGACGGGTTCTGCGGAAGAGAACAACGCCGGTTCGTACGACTTTCTACCGACGCGATTGTTCGCGTAGGTCGCTGCACCGCGAAAATGCGCCTGCGCGACCACATTTAGTTTATTTACTCTAGTTTATTCCTTTCGGCCTTTTCCCCCGTGAAACACGCATGCCGGCGCCTCTCTGGCTGTTCCCCCCCGATTTTGACGTTTTGTGTCTTTCGTATTTTCAATTCGTGGAGTGTGTTTTTCTTTTTAAGTAGCTGTGCGTGTAATTGTGGGAGGTGTGGTTCTGTGAAATGTGTAAGCGGCGCTGACGACAGCGCGATAGAAACTCGGACTTGTTGTTAAGCTAATCCACCCTTCCGCTGATCACGGTATAAAACGGTTACCGATCCCCATCAAATTTTTTGATCGGTACCGACTCGCGCAAGCCGTCGAAGGGTACCGATCACTGTGCAAAATTTTGATCCCAATCCCCTTCAATCGCGATCACCCATGTTGTGACATCGCGGTATTGAGCATTTCTTTAAATATTATTCTAGTTTTTTCGTGTGTGTGGTTGAATATTGCACGCGATGTCAGCCACATTTGCGACTGCTTGCCGCACATTTGATCGTTGTCGTACTTACGCATCCGAGGTGAACGACATTCGATGGCGGCTAGCTCTTTGGCCTTGTGTTTAGAGCAAATTATAAACGCGTTGTGATTAGAAGAAATGTTTCACGATTTAGAGTACGGTGTAATCTACTGTAGGAGAGCTCCGAGCTGTCCCACTTAAATGTGTGTTTAGAAAAAAAAAGTGTTGAACGATTTAGAGTACCTGGTACTCTATTATATGGGAGGGCAGCAAGCCGTCCCACTCCTATTGGGTGCCAGGAAGGATAGAATGGTGTGTTTAGAAAAAGTAGTTGACGATTTTGAGTACTTTGTACAATAGAGTTGCCCGTCAGCAAGCGCGAAACTGGCTCGTTAGCTGGATGTTCACGGCGAAATAGCGCCGGAAAATGCAGCCCTCGAACTTCACGAGTTCTCGGTCCCATAGGTATTTGACATCAGCTATATGCACTGCATCTGCTTCTATTATACCCTACCCGACTTTGTTACAGCGGGCACGAATAATTACATCGACCGTCCTTTTAAAATAGAAAACACTCGTTCGCGCAGACAGGAGTGTTCTTCGCTTTTTTGAGTATATTAGTCATTAAGCTGAGCTGTTTCGAAAAATTTGTGTATTCGCTGGAATTACAGATTATACGTGCAGATGGAACTCCAACATGTGCGCCTTTTTTTTTCTTCTTAATTTCAAAAAAAAAAAAAGCTGTCTGAGTGGCATTTGCGATCGTAGTTTTGTCCCATGCAGCGCCGCACGAATTGGGATTGGCATGGATGACAGAAGACAAAGTCAAAGAACGGTATAAATATTCCTGTTTATGCAACTGTAGAACGAAAAAGGTGTTTTATTCCAGGCACAAGTACCGAGATGCATGGGCGGGGAGGGGCAGGGGTGCAAGAGGGGCACTTGCCCTTTCCCAAGATACACCAACGCTTGCAACACGGATTAGCATCCCCCTCCCCTCCAACCTCAAAGCAAGGGCCTTGCTTACAAGCGCCGGCGCGAATCGTCCGAAAATTATAATGAAATATATACAGCAAAAGCTGGCTAACTCGAAAGGGACTATAATTCTTTTTTTTTTTTTTTGAAATAGCGAGTGGCCGCCAGAATGAACGGACAAAAATCGAAGAAGCCACTCTGGACCCGTTATCGTGAATTAGGCGGTGCAACACGTTTGTGCAAAGGCAATTTCGTAAATTGAGTACATGCTACTCCGACGGACGGGGCTGGTGGTGGTAATAATAAACATTGCACTACAAAACAGAGGTGTAGAACCTCTTTGGCGGTCCCTATACAGACTACGTGGAATCCCTACTCCAGGACCCTATTGGTTGAAGCCGCCGGCCTGGCTCTCTAGACCAAACTTGCTCTGGATCAAGGCCTGCTGGGCCTGAAGGTCTGAGCAGGGCTGCCTCCGTGTCCTCTCGCCTAGAGTTTGGGTGATGAGTAATGACTGCGTTATTTTTGCAGGCCCACACCATTCGTTGCGGGCGTTAGTATAATATCGCAAGGCTGTGCATTCGACACGACCGAGTCCCTGCCTGAAGCAGACGATGCAAGCACACGAGCAGCGGGTGCTGCAGCGCGGTTGAGAGAGGTTCAGCGTCTTTGCGAGAGGGCGCCACTGTGGCGTTTGAGATAATGTCCCTAGATCTAGGGACCTTAGTCTAACACAAGCCTCCGACGACTAGGGGAAAGCGGATTTTTTGGAAAAAGTTAACGAATTAGAGCATTTGGTACTCTGCTATGGGAGAGCAAGAAGCCGTCCCGTGACTTGACCGATCCAAGGCACGGAGAAGCTGACAGTGTGTTTAGAAAAAAGTTAACGAATTATAGTATCTGGCACTCTACTCTGGAGAGTACAGAGCCGTCCCGAGGACCTTCGCTTTCGTTTAGAAAAAAATGTTTAACGATATTGAGTACTTGGTATTCAACTATGGGAGAGCAGTACGCCGTCCCTTCGCTTTGTGTGTTTAGAAAAAAAAATGTTTAGCGATTTCGAGTACTTCGTGCTCAACGATGGGAGAGCACTGAGCCGTCCCGTGCGAACGCGGAGGAGTCGACTAAACGGTTTCAATTTTTAACGCCGAATGATACGCTCGAGGTACATCAATGCTATATCAAACGACCACATCAAATGCTCCGGAGTTGTCTCAACTTTTTGTTCGAATTATTTTACTGAGCTTTACAGTGGCGGAAACTGCTGCGAGCAAAATATACAGAAAGGCGTCGTCAGCTTCGATCTTTTAACCGCGCTAGATATATACTGCCAATATGTTATCGCAATTTACGATGATCGTGCGATAGGGAGCCTACATGTGCGCGCGTCTCCGTGTTTTAGGGCGGTGACAACTTCGATCGTGGTTGCTTACAACAGGCAAAAACGGCCGCCATCCTTGACGGGCCGCCATGTTGGTTCTGAGCGGTCGCTCATTTACACACCGAAGGCAGTGTGGGCTCCAACGAGAAGTTTATATATATATATATATATATATATATATATATATATATATATATATATATATATATATACGGAAAGAAGTGTATACCTAAGGGCTCGTTTTTCCGTGTTCCCCTTATTTCATTAAACGAGGGTCTCGTACTGGCAGACTTGGTGTCATTAGGTTGTATACGAGGGACTATTAATCAGCTGCCCGCTCATAATAAGTTCACGTGCTACGTGACGCCAAACATGCGCATGAAAATGTGTTTTCACACTCGTCGCTTGGCTTATAGATGGCGCTGCCTGTCACTTCTACTTCTAAATTCACATATAAACCCAAAAAAGTGGATGGAGGGAGGGCCGCTGTGGTAGCTCAGTCATTCTGCTTCTGGTCACCGACGCGTGCGGACGCAGGATGGCAGGCTCTTCAAGAGCTGTTACAGCGGCCGACGCTAGCCGCGGTTTCTCGTGCACATCACTGCCCAAGGACTACCGTTTAATTCTGCCACCACTGCCCACAGGAGAAGGACTCAGACGCACGTTGGTTCTGCACTGCGATATCGCAGCGCGTCCGTACGGGATTAATGACTTCCGAAAGCCGCTCAAGGAACTAGGCATCATTCAAGAGGTAAGCGGCATAGGAGCGTATCAGATGTCGCACGTCTGGCTTCTTAACATGAAGACAGATGAAGCCAAGAAGACACTTCTGGACGCTGGCCTACTCTCCGTGAAAGACCGGCCCTGCGTCGTCGTCGACCCAGAAAGGCAAGAGGTGCGTCTCAAGTTGCATTGGGTAGCCTTTGACGCCAACGCAGAGACTGTACGGCGTGCATTCCGGGAGTACGGTGAAGTGAAAGAAGTCATCAGCGACAAGTGGAGAGACGAAGACTTCGAAGGAGTTGAGTCAACCACAAGGTTCGTTCGGCTATTACTTAAAGAAGGCGTTACTACGGATTGCATACCCCACCAGATGCGTCTCGGGAGCGGCATGGCACTGGTGGTCGTGCCAGGAAGAGCGCCGCTGTGCCTGCGTTGCCGGAACACGGGACACATTCGTCGCGACTGCAGGGTGCCCAGGTGCACTGGTTGTCGCGCTTTTGGGCATGAGCAGGCGGACTGTACTCGTTCCTATGCCAGTGCAGCAAGTCGAGCAACAAATGCTGACCACAGTGAATTGCTCATGGATGAAGAGGAAGCGGAGAGGGCCGCGGCGTCGAAGGCAGGAGCGGAGGCGTCTCATGCAGTGGCGACCAGCGAGAGAAAGATGGAGACACCTAAGGAAGACACAGATGAGAATACGGTTATGGGCACTCCAACGCAACGGCGTTCGACTCAAAGCGAAACCCAGCACAAGGCTGAACCAGTCATCGGGTCCGACGCTACTTCGGACATGGATACAGTTGAAGCTACGCCAGTAAAGCGACGCCTGAATGAGGGAGACGCGGCGTCCCAGCAGCGTCTGGCCCAGGAAGATCAAGGGCAGTGGCGAGTGGCTGGCTCCAAAAAGTCTCGGGGTGCTGGCCGCCTGCGTTCGTCGTCGCTTTCACGCGGCGGCGACGGGACGACGCCTTGAGCGTCGGCCGGACAGTGTTCTAGGTATTGGTAAGGTAAGCGTCTTTCGCTCGGCTTTCTCTCATCACGATGGCGACGATTAGATTGGCGACGCTAAATGTACGTGGGCTTTCTGCCAAACGGCGGCAAAACCAGCTTTACCGCCTGATTATAGAACAAGATCTAGACATCGTCGCTGTACAGGAAACTAAAGTAGAGAGTGAAGAGCACGCTGAGCGAATGGTGCAGCCTTTCACGAGACTGTTTGATGTGTGCGTTTGTCACGCGGTGGGTACATCTGCAGGTTGCCTCTTGTTAATTCGGCAGAGCCTTAATGCGAAAGTGGAGTCTGTAACTACCTGCGAGGCGGGTCGTTTTATTATATGTGATTTATCCCTACCAAAAAAAAA